CTCTTCCGCGGCCAGGCTTAGTGGAGTGGGAAGGGACTGCTGTAGGTTCCTTTTGGATAATTAGAGCAGAACCAGTTGACTACGACTTGAATCCTAAGCAAAATCATTTTTTTTTGGTAGAAATGAGAAATGTTCAATTTTAAATAACTGCATCAATGTAATGGTGTAAACGTCACATCCTAGGAACATTTTTTACTTTAAAGGGTTCACAAGTGTTTTTAGTTTAACTTGGTAAAATTGGCTTAATCAAAAGGCTTCAAGTTTGGTTGCACATGTCCCCCATAACTCCCCATCTGCTGTTTGCCTCTGTCTGTCTGTCTGTCTCTCTCATCTCTCTGTCCCTATACATTCTCTCCTTCCTACCCCTCTGTTTTCTGTGTTGGGTGACTGTTGATTTTAAATTTCTATCCTTATGATGACAGGATTGCTGCCAATAGCAAAGGCCCACAGCTTCCTGCTTTGCGATTCTCTAAAAGCCATGAGATTTAATTCTTTCTCTTTTCTCTGAGATATTTATTCAGCATTTGACTTATGTAGTAGTTCCCGCTTAGCTGAAGAATAACTTTCCATACCCAAAGTGTGAAAAGATTAGATGGAAATTCAGAAGTAACAATTTGTAAGTTCTAAATTGTGTGCCATTCTGTGTAGCATGGTCTGCTTCCTTCTTGCTGGATTCCAAACAGGATGTGCCAGTCGTTTAAACCAGCACATGCGTACTGTACATGGTACCTACTCTTAGTAATGTATCAGCCATCAGGGTGGTCAGACAAATTCCTATGATACCAAGGTGCTTATGTTCAAGTAACCTTTATTTTCCTTACTAATGGCCCTAAATCAAAAGAGTAGCGATGCTGGTGTTTTGTATGTGCCAAAGAGAAGCTGTAAAATATTTTTTAAGGGAAAGTCCTTAAGAAGGAAAGAAAAAAATCACGTGTTAAAGGTTGTTAATGTCTGTGGAAAGAATTACTCTATCTGTAACATTGTGAGGGAAAAAAAAATCCATGCCAGTTTTTCTCTCACAACTCAAAACTGTAAAAGTTATGGCAGGATATGTGGAGAGTGTTTAGTTAAGATGGCAAAGACATTAAATTATAGGATTTGGTACTGTTTGTAGCATCTAACATCTATTGGCTGTCTTGGACTTATCCCCTGTGGATGAGAGGACTGTTGTATTAGATGTTTAATACATATTTATGGACTAAATGTAAAGATTGTGCTATTGTTAGAAGACGGTTGTTATCTTTCCATATAAGTCTTTCTATAAGCCTGGTGGCCATGCCAGTTTGCCAGAAATGGCTGGAGAAGGCTGAATGAGGCCACATCAACTCCTGAGAGACGGAAATCTGTAAAAAGATGATTGGTTTATAAATTTGCCAGGGAAATACTTGTTGTTTATGCTGAGAAGCCGGTGTGTTCCATTTAAGAATATTAGAATCCCTATCGATTCTGAAAGACACAGTGAGATAGAGACTCTTGAAGTAGAGTGCAGTCTTTTAAAGGATTGTAATGCCTGTGTCTCTCGCCAATGTGAGTTTGTGTGAACTCTCATTGTAAGAAAAGCAGAAAGGTGGTTCATGCATGATTTAGTAAAAATCAACCCTATGTTTAGATCTCAGGGAAATGAACAATGAAAAACTAAAAATTGTTCAAAACACTAGAATTTTTTTGGTTAGATCAAATGAAAATCACGAGTTACAATTTAGAATGGAAAATGCAGCTTTTTAATCTTAACTTACTACAAAGGAATTATGTGTTTACCTCCTGCCATTATTGTGGATGTCTTCCGAATTAATCAGTTTAGACCTTATTTTATATACAGCATTAACATGATTTTTTGTAGAAGTTAGGGTACAGAGTTTTTAATATTGGATTTCAACTTTTCCTGAGTAGAAATTTTTTATTTTTATTGAGTTTATTGGTACATTCTAGGTATACAATACAATTACATTCATTACTGGGATCTCGTACCTTTACGTGACAGGTCTTCGTTCTCATTTTTTTCCTCTTGTCCCTGCCCTCCCTTCACCCCCTCTTCCCCTCCCCATTTACAAACACTTTATTTCCATTTTTTCATTTTCTCATATTTTTTTCTTTTCCCTTATTCCCTTTCCCTTACCCTTCCCACTTTCTCTACACCTTTAGCCCTTTCTTCCTATTTCATATTGTTAATTATCCCATTAGGATCTTGAGTACTGTTATAGTTTTTCACACCAGAGAGACTATTCGGTATTTACACATGTGCGACTTATTTATTTTACTTAAGAGAATATACTCAAAATGTATCCATTTTCCTATAAATGACTCTAATTCTGAGTAGCAATTTTTTAAAAAGAGCAAGTTTCAAACCCTTTTGTATGCCCTATAATAATGTGTCGAAGTTACTTTACTTTTTATTTTTTCTAATCATGTATTTTTTTTTCCTTTTGGTGTTTTTTATTTCTGTTTACAATTGTTGTCAATCAAATAGTAAGAAAGTCTCGTTAATTCTTTATTAATTTCAAACTGTATGAGTTTTAGCTGGATATCCCCACCCATTCTCAAAACTAAGTATAGAATAAAGATGATAACAAATGGCCAAAAACTTTGGCCAAATTCATAGCTGAATGAACACAGTGATATCAACCAAGGTAATTTGAATTCCTTTAAGCTCTTGGTATAAATGTGGATTCATCACTGAAATGCCATTTTGTATCAAAGAATATAAAAATTCAGTGCTTTTTTAACAAAGTACAAATCTACACACATTTACAAAGATTTTCATAATATTAAAACTGAGTATTTACCAAGAAAAGTGCACCACTTTTGAAAGGTATATAGTACTTACCTCTATGAGATCCCTTGGGGATTCTTTCACCTGGGAACTATTCCTGCTTTTAAAAGTTGCATAAGTGATGCTTGGGGTGTTTTTTCCTTAAAAAAAAAAAGGAACCAAATTGTTTTTAGTAAGCATAGAGAAGTCTTTTCTCAAATTACTGTATTTGTTTCCTTGTTTATTTGTCTCATTAGAATGCAAGCCCCTGGAGAACAGGGATACTGCTTAAAAATTAGTATTCACTGGGTGAACCGTTTTGTTACTAATTGGATGGTCATGAATGATGCACATTCTAATACCATGGCAGTTTCCTCCATTTCCATAATCCCAGTGCTTTCATGTCAAAGCCAGTTTCCCTGGTGGGTGATGCAAAAATCTCACTCCACGGTTTAGTCACCAGTGCAACGTGGAAGCCACAGGGCCAGCAGCTTGCTGAGTTGTACCTTGTTACCTGGAATTCTGCATGGTATTCAAGGAATCCTGAACTGCATGTGTGGGAGGTAGTGAGATTTCTTCTTTTTTATTTTGAAAACATTCATTTTGGAAAACACTTTCTACTTTGGACTGCTTAGATGCTAGAAGCTGGGCAGCATGCCCTGGGTGATAGCTCCTGTTGTGAGCTGCCGTGCAGACAACCTCGTGTGTGCTCCTACAGTGCTACTCTGCTGCAGAAATTAAGGATTCTCTCTCTAAAATGCTCCATATTGTCTTAGGCAAGATAATTCAACTAAATGAAACATCCAAATATAAGAAATAGAAAAATAGAATTCACTTCTTTCAGCAAATTTCACTATGTTCTCTAATCACCTTGGTCAGCTAATACTACAATCCCTAGATATAATAGATTTGGCATTCATTAACTAAGAATTGTGATTGCTTAGTTTGAAGAAAATAAAAGATATATTTCTAAATCTGCCTATAATTTGAAAACTCCGGAAATCAGCTACCAGTAAAATTTTTCTTTCAAATGCTTTAAATTGCCCATGGATCCAAAGTTTAAGCTTAGCCAGGGCAACTTAGTGATTCAAAAAGACCTTGTCACAAAATTTAAAATAAAATGAGACTGGAAGTGTAGCTGAATGTGAAGGTCTAGGTTTGATCCTCAGCAGTACCCCTCCCAAATTGATTTTATAAATATGTAAAAGTGAGGTTTCTCATGCACATTCAGGTTTGCTAAGTACAAAGGACAATCACAACCCCGTCTGAGCTTGTGAGACAGATTCAGAGCACGTTTTTGTCTGTGTCAAGGTAAATCGGGCTGTGCTTTGTGGTGACACAGAATGTGTTCAGTTTCTGGCATAAGCACATTCTGATGTTGGCAGTTGGACAAGGTTTGATTGCTAAAAAAGACAGAACCCAAAATGACAGCTCTTGCCAATCTACGGGACAATGACACAATATGCCCACAGCATTACTTTAAGGGCCACTTCTCAGCAAAGGATTGGGAAAGCGGTGCTGAGCTGCAGCAACACTTCCCTGCTAGGGCTACACAAAGGCACTTTCTATGGGGACAAAACCAGTGACTTATGCATAGCATGTTCAGATCCAGCAGATCTAAAGGGGTGCTTTGCCAGTTATTTCTTCCACCTTGTTGGTCATGTAGGCATCATCTTGCCTGTAGCCAACCCCAGTAGGAAAGCTCTTGGGGAATCTCACCTATAGCCCCAGGAGCAAGCTATCAGTCTCCCTTCACCAGTGAACAGTACCTAATCACTGGGCTCATGGATAGAAAGAAACATTGGCAGGTGTGCCTCTTTTTTGCCCCTGGCATTGTGCAGGGCATTCTATACTTTAACAGAACTGCTCAGCAATTCCAGGTCTTCTGGAATTAGCCTTCATAGTACAAGTATCAGTGGTCTTTTGGGATATTCATGAGAGCACAGCATATCAAATACTGTAAGTATCATAACTCTAGGTATATAGTTCGATATTTGTGTTTTAAAATCTTAAAAAGTGAACCTGAAAGAGGGTTGTTTTGGTAGTACTACATTTCTCCTCTAAAACTGTTGTATAGTCCTCTCAGTTTGTTATGTTAGCTTTTGCTGTTTTCTTAAAATCATATTTGAAGATTTTCTGAGGCAACACTGTCAAAGTGCCTTGAGTCTGTTGAGAGTGAATGACAGTCTGTATTTCAGAACCTGCCCAGAGTTTCTAATTGTCTTTTTCCCCCTTCCTTCTCCATCCCCAGATGACTCAGCTCCTAAGGAAGTCAGCAGGGTAAGTAATGCGAATATAATTTCTACTTCTGCCACAGTATAAGGAGTAAGAAATTCCTTTGTACATTTTCTCACTACTGTAACATGTTAAATTATTAAAAAAAATGACAAAACCTAAGTATCTGCTTCAAAGAGTTACTGATTCATGTGGAATAAAGTCAGTAGAGAGACATTTTGCTAATAGCAGGCTGCAAGACTGAACATAACAGTTGCATTTCTCTTGGCCTGCACATGTTCGTGGGGTTTTCTGCACCAGTGGCTAACATTCAGAATGGGGAGACTGTGTACAAAGATTGTGTTTCTGTCCTCCGCTGAAAAACTCGAAGGTAAAGGAATACCGGCACAGCACTCCAACACAGCAACATGGGCTCCGGCCAAGCAGAGGAAGCCACAGGTGTCACAGCCCTCTACTGAGCGAGCTTTACTTTACTACTTTACCTGTCTGGTTCCTGGCTCTCAATTCATGCACTTTGATTTCCGGAGAACAAAAGACAACTCATGTGGTAGAGGTGTAGTATTGCTCAGCACTTTCAGAAAAGTTAAGTGTACAGTTTTCCTGACCTAGAGAATACTGGGTGTTAATTTATAGAGATCAGTACATTTAAAAGATTGGTGGAACGAGTACTAAAAGCATTGTCATACTGTTAAATACCGAATTACCTGTATAAGTAATTCATAGAGAAAATTATCTTGTTCCATCTGTAAGGATCTTAAGTGTGGATTACATACTGAAAATAATCAGTTTGAATTGTACCTGATACAACCAGATGTAAAAAAAAATTGCTCTTTTTTTAAACTAGAGAACTGTTAATAGAATCACGTATATTCTTTTATTTTTGATCATATGTTGTAGAAAATCTCTAAAGATGATAAGGGAGGACCAAGGCTGCAGAGCAGGTGGCTAGGCAGAATTCCCTCTGTCCATAGCAACCTATCTGACTCTTAAGGTTTCTGGGAGACTCAGAGTTTTCTCAGATGCCTTCACTATTTATTTTGCATTTGTAGAGTTCATGGAGGGATAATTGCCAACTCTGTGTGCTGCAAATCTGTGTGCTAAGAAGGGTAGGGGTCATCTAGAATTTTTGTATCTGCTAGGAACAGCAAAATGTTTGAAGTAATACCCAAAGGTAAAAGGGAATTCTCATGAATTTGGACAGAGTCATAAAATGTCAGGGTGTTGATACTGGCAAATCTGTCTTGATTTTCTGAAGCCTCACTGTGTATTTTATAAATCAATGTCTAGTAGGAAATGAACTGCAATTTATTCATCAATAATCCTTTTTCAAAAAGGAAAGAAAAGATTTTAGACTTTGTTATTATTTTTAAGGGAATTAGAAGAGGGAATGCCCAATTTAGATAGTTTCAACCCATGCACATGTTTTCCTTCCATCTTACTGTAATGACAAGAATAATTAGAATTGTATGTCTGATACTTTGCTTAGGTCAGTATATTGACTCTCTTCATCTGTTTAATGGAAAGCTCTTCCTTAGACCCCACTATTCCATGATATAGACTCACTAGAGTACCAGGACCAATTTTGCTATTGTATCCTCTGTCAAATATAAATCATGTTGTATTTGAGGAGAATGACTTTGTAGGCAAGGAATAGACTTTTTATCTAACACATTTCTATATATTCAGTTCTGCAATATTGCTGCCAGGCATCTTGTGTTCAGAAATGCTGTTATACAGATATTGCTTACTTTATTAGTGCCCTCTTTCCAGGTAGAGACAGAGGATACACCATGTGTTCAGACAGTGCCAATGTAACAGCATGGAACATCCTTATGGCCTTTAGGATTAGTGATGAAACTATACAAAATGGCTTTTAAACTATTATTTTATAAGGTTCTCTCAGGACAAGGAGAAACCCTCGTTTCTAAGAAACACTAAATCTATGAGCTCAGGTATTAAAATGGTGTCAGGTATCAGGATCTTTTAAATTTTTTCCTGAACCTTGATCATTGCCTACTTGACTAATATTTATATTTTGCTATTGAAACAGTCACTGTTTTTTTTTCAAATTTATATTAGAAATACCTCGGCCACATTGTCATAGATGGTGACTAGCCACAGCTTTTGTTTGAACACATCTACCCTTAAAAAGTACCCTTTAGTTGGTGGATTATTTCACTCCTGGGTGTGTTTGATCACTGTGAAGTTCCTTATCTCCTAGATTCCACTAATTAACCTCCCCTTAATTACCATCCATTCATGTTAGTTTTGACTTTGTAGTACCTCACAAAGGGCTATACATCTATTCCATATGTGACTCATGAGTACAGGGATTTTGTTCTTTATGTATCAGTAAAACATTTATTCCCTTGCATAGTTTCTTACATACCTGAGATGACAGGATCTGGGATGACAAACTATATATTATTAAAATGTGGCAGCCATACCATAACACTATCGACCTATTGTGGCCTGACCCTAATAAAATGAGATGGGACGGATAGCATCTTGATGTAGAAACTATCCTATAGATAAAATTCTGAGAGAATTAGCTTTTTAAAAAAGACATAGAGATTTCTGATTATTCCGCTTTTAATAACCTACCATTTTTTTTCATACAGTCAAAACCAATCTGTAATTTTATATCTCTTCTCTCTGTTTCCTGGTTTGCGCTTTTTTCCTCTCTCCCACCATCTGCCCTTTTGCCTACCATTCAATTGGCAGACATTAACATTTACATGTCAAGCATTATTCTGGGGTGCTGAGAATGTGGTGGTGTTGAGAAAAATAATATTCTGATTTTCAGTAGAAGGGAATGGTGGGGACAGTTAAATACACATAGATAGATAGATAGATAGATAGATAGATAGATAGATAGATAGATAGACAGACCAGTGATAAATAGCATGATTAATAAATATGATAGTAAATCAGAATAAGGATATAGTGAGTAGTGATGGTGCATTAGGGATAGCCTCTTATTGTATGTATGTAGTGGTCAGGAGAGCTTAATTGAATAAGTTGACATTTGGGCAGGATCTAAAGAGAATTGGCCAGCAGGAGGAGGCAATACCTGTCAAGGCCCATGATTCTGGTCAGGTGGCTAGAGCAGGTTGACTTATGGGAAGAGTAATAGGAGATGAAGTTAGAATAAAACAGGAGTGTTGAAGGCTTTATAGTCTGCTCAACATCCATTAGGTTTAATTCTGGGAACACTTAGAAGCCTTTAAGTAAATCAAGGGGGATGCTGGATCTGACTTACATTGGAACTCATTCCTTCTGCTGAATTAAGAGTACACAGAAAGAGGTAAGAGTGGAAACAGGGAGCCAGAGCCCTAGAGTATAGGAAGAAAGGAGGGCATCTAGGATCGGGGTTATGATGGTGAAGTGTAAGCTGAAGTTGGTCTGTTAGAAAGGAGGATCCCATGGGCTCCTCCAGGGCTGTACATCTTGTGTGAAAAGAGAGGAGAATTACAACTCCCCACAGTTTTGGTCTCATCCTGTTGGGTTAAGACCAAGGAGGAATGGTATTCAGTGAAGTTGAAAAATCAATAAGTTGATTTTGAACATGTCAAAATCAAGATTAGATAAGGAATTGGAAATATTTTGTGGAAATATTTTGAAAGCAAATATATGTATATATGGTCATTCTGAGAGAAGTTCATAAGTCCGGATAGTCATGTGGAAGTATGTAGCATATAGATAACATTTAAAGGTTTAAGACTAAATGTTATTATTTGAGGAATTTGCCGCCAGGGTAAAGATTTGAGCTCAAAATCTAGACACCACAGTTGTTAGATGATGAGTAGATGTAGAAAAGAAAGGAAAAGAAATGATGGACAGGAAACCAAAAACTTCTTTGTCAACATATTTTGTTTTAGAATTTTAAAAGCATAATGCCAATTTTGTCTGGAAAGCACATTGTCATGTGCGTATAACACCCACATTTATTCTTTAGAATATTTCTATTAATAAGTCTCTAATTTTAATTGTATGAGTTTTATTTTATTAAACAGTGAGTACTTAACAGGAAAAATATCAAAAAGTAAATACTGAAATTTTAATATTTATTGAACGTTTATAAATAGCATCACATTTTTCAACATCAAATTTTTTGTGTGTACAGAGTTTTAAAAATAACAAATAAATACCTGTAGGAACTATAATGAAAATATTAATAGAACTCTACAACAAAATAATCTTTATTCCAATATCACACTTAAGGCAGTGTTAACACATGACAACAGCATATTCCATACACATGTATTGCTTACATTGACAGCAAATGTATTTTGCTTTCCTGGTCTTTTTTGTAGGACATTCTTGACATATCACTGGTCTTCCTGTTGATAGGAGGTACTTATATTATACAATGTGTGGTTAACAGGCACATAAAATAAAGTACATGATTCTTTCTTTCTTTTTGATATAGAGGCAGGTGGCAGCACTACTGAGCTAAATCCCCAGCCCCAAAATTCTTAACATGTATTGCATGTTTAGGAAAAAACATCAACATTTTCACATCATCTATGTACTTGCTTTCAAAACCTAAAAGATAATATCAGTGAAAATACCAGTAGAACTCTACAACCGAAATCATCTTCTCTTTAATTGTCACACTCAAGGCAGTCTTCACACATGAGAACTGCATGTTCCACGCACACATCTTGCTTACACTGACAGCACATGTACTTAGCTTTCCTTTCCTGTGTGGCAGTCCATTCTTTTCACCTCTTTTGTCTTCCTGTTTTTTCAGGAGCTTCCTACTATATTGTGCAAACTGCACTTAGCAGGAAAATAAGATATAAATAAAATAAAATATCAAATATATGAGTACTTATTATAGACATCAACTTTTCATATCAGCTGTTTACTTGCTTACAAAATTTAAAAGACAACATCAGAAATAAAAAAAAAAACTATGTGAACTACAGTGTAAGTACAAAGGTCTACAACAGAAATAATCTTTACTTCAACTGTCACACCCAAGATGGTCTTCACACATGACAACTGCATGTTCCATGAACAGTATCACTTATACTGAT